AACCACCACATTAGCACCTCTGGTTTTTTATCAATAGCATGCACCATTTCTTGGGCGATTAATATTTGGTCTGTAATATCTCTTTCTTTGACAACTCCAGCCTGCTCTTCTGATATTATTTTGGGCAGTAATTTTGCTAGTCTAGAGGCCAAAACCTTTGTACAGATTTTACTAGCAAAATTAGATAAACATATAGGCCTAAAGTCTGAAAAACTGCTAGGATTACCAGTCTTAGGAATTAATACCACAAAAGAGCTAGAGATGCCTTTAGGGGGAGGCACTCCTATAAAAAATTCTTGAACAACCCTGACTACATCATCCCCCACTATGCTCCAACATTTTTTTACAAAATTTCCCAGAAAACCCATCAGGGCCTGGAGCCCCATTCTGGTTCAAATACCATACTGCACTTTTAACCTCCTTTTTAGTTGGGATAGCAGCCAAATACTCATTATCCTCCCCAGTAATAATCTCAGGTATACTAGCTAAAATATCATTGCTTGAAACTGCAGGCTCAACAGCATATAGCTTGGAATAAAAGTCCACAGCTGCTTTGGAGATATCTTCTAAGGTATGACATTCCTCACCCCTGGAATCTTGAATTGAGTTTATAGTTTGACACCTTCTTCTCATTTTCACAAAAGAGTGAAAATATTGAGAATTACAATCACCATCTTTTAACCATTTAATGTGTGCTTTCTGTTTCCAAAACTTCCTTTCAAGCCTATATTTGCTGAGTAGTAAAGCCTGCTGGAGCTGCCAATTTTCCCTGTTAGTATCAGTAGGATCATCTATAAATTTCTTTTCTGCATCTGATACCTGTTTCTCAGCAAATTTGATGTCATCAAAGATATTACCAAAAATATCTTTATTCCATTGTTTTAGGTCCTTTTTAATTTCTGTCATTTGAGAACTAAACCATGCATTCCACCACCTGCAAAGTCATCACCCCAACTTTTTTTAACAGTCTCCATAAAAGAATGATGTAATATCCACATATTTTGAAACCTAAAAGGTTTTGGCCCAGTCTGATTTTGATTACTACATTGTATAAGCATAGGGCAGTGATCTGAAGGTGCCTGGTTTAGATTTGTGATTTTAATCTGATCATAAGAATCAAGAAAAGCCTCATTGAATAGACATCTGTCCAATCGTCTCCACAGTCTACCATTGGACCTCACCCCTGTCCAAGTAAACTGACATCCCAAATATGGAATATCAATCAAATTACATGTTGAGATACAATCCTTAAACTCCATCATACTTGTCAGATTAGGAATAGAAGCTCCCAAGTGCTCAGCATTATCAATAATGGCATTGAAGTCCCCCCCCACCATCCAAGGAATGTCAATGGAAGCAGAGAACTGTTTAAGATGGTCCCAAAGTTGCCTTCTTTCAATAAAAGTGTGCTTAGCATATACTGCAGTAACCCAACTTCTCAAATTACCATTAGAAACCTTAAAATGGGTAAACTGGTTATCCCAAGTTACCTCATAAATAGTGATGAAAGTAGAGTCCCAGAAAATCCAAACTTTATTCAGTGAATTAAAGAGAACATTAGAAAAACCAAAATTCACTTTGAAAGAATCAGCTTTACTAGAATCCACCATAGGCTCAATAACAACAAGAACATGAACCCTCCAATAGTTAATCAATTTAGTAAGCCTTGGCCCGGAGGCAGCAAAGCCCCTAACATTCCATATTACATTCATGGTAAGGTTTTAGGTAAAGCTTGAGATTGCCTTCTGGCAGCATACCTTGTTAACACATTTGGGGTTTCTGGTACTACTTTCTTTTTACTCCTCTTTCTACCCACTTTTATGAATGGCTCTTCTTCCATTTCAAAGTCTTGCTGTGGTAAATCAGGCTGGTTAAGTGCTGCAATTAATTCTGAATCTTCCCTCCTTTTCCTTGTTTGCAATAGAGCCTGTATTTTATTATTAATCATAGGCATAGCCTCTAACCACTCCTCTTTGGTTTCCTGTTTGTTGGATGGCTCTGAGTCTGATCCATACTCCTTGGAGGCAATTTCCTGGTCAAAATATGATGCTTTCTCCATATTCTGAATGCAGAGGTCATCCTTTATAAATTGAATATCTTCAGCTGTAGATACTGTAATACCTGGAATGTTACCTTTAAGCATGTGTTTAAGATGCTCCTTTTTCTTATGTGCTTCTTCATTTGTTTGAATTGCAGGTGGTGGTTCATGAAACACTTCCTCTGTATCTGTCTCATCCAAAACATAAATGTCCTCCTGAGGCTTGGAAGAAATTTGGATTGTTGATGGATTAGATGTGGAGGGCTTAGATGTTGATGGTTGATCCTGAAAAACAACAATAGCCTTCCCCTTGTCAATATTTGCTTCCATTGTAGTAGCTTCAGATCCTTTGTTTCCTTGTGTAATAGTTAAGTTGTTGGGCTTTGTTTACTTTGGGATCCATTTAGACCCAGCATTATCTGCAGCTTTAAGAACACCCCCAAACATAGGATTTGGATGGGCCCTATCCTGCTTGTCACCCATATGATTAGCAACATGCCCCTCCTTCTTTGGACACTTCCTCTCCTCATGTCCTAAGTGAAAGCATGACAAACAGTAGAAAGGCCTATTTTCATAAATAACATTATGTGTGAAACCTGAGTCACCAGTTTGAATCCAAATCTTATTCGGCATAGGCTTAGTTAAATCTAATTCAACACATACTCTAGCAACAGAGGGTCTCGCTAGCTAGAGTGGTGGTAGCAATATCTAACTTTAAGGGCTTTCCTATTAATCCAGCAATAAGAAACATAACCCTTTTGTCATGTAAATGAATAGGCAGACCTTCAAATGCTAACCAAACTGGAACCACAGGGGATTCCACGTTTGGCTTAAAATCTGGAGACCATTTGGTAACTCTCATTAAATTACCAAAGATATCCCATTTTTGACGGTTCCAACATCTTATATAGTCTTCCTCCAAATCAAACCTGATAAGAATATGTTTAGACTCCAGTAATCCCAAGTGAAAGTTTCCTTTATAGCCTATAATCTCAAAGGATCGACGAATGGTTTCCATGGATGAACGCCCCTTGTAAAAGTATCCTACTAAGGATCGCCTGTGCTTGTCAGCCAGAACATCAAGATCCACCTTCGAGAAATTAGCCGCTGGCAGACCCTTGTACTTCGTCTGGAATGATGAGGTAAGAGTTGCATCTGCCTTATCCAATAACACCGAAACGAAAGAATGTTTGTTCTTCCATGCATTCCCCAGTGGTTGAGGATCCGCCGTGGGCGGCGGCTGTGCAGTAGTCGTGCCCATTTTTGGAGGGTCTCCTTAATAAAGGATCCAAAAAAAAAAGATTACTCCACCAATCATTATGAACATAAAGTTCATAGGTTAATCACATATCATGATTATGAACACATGGTTCATAGATTACTCCACATACCATTATGAACACATGAATGCTGTTGTTGTTGCTGCTGCCGCCGCCGCTGCCGCTGCTGCTGGTGTGTTTTGACTAGGGGTGGAAATAGGTCATGCCAGACTTTTGCCTAAACAGGCCGGGCCTGTTTTAGAATTAATAGGCCTGAGTCTGGCCTGTTACAGGCCTATTTGTTCGGCTTGAGCCTGGCCTATTGAAAAGTCTGACCTGGCTTGAAACCTGTTTAGTGGGCCTGTTAAGAAATATCAAAAGTTCAAAAAAAAAGTGAAAAATCCTTTGACTGATATAAAATTTGTCCCCCCAGAATATTCACGAAAAAGTCTAATAATATGTTAGGTTTGCTTTGAATTTATAATAATACATTAATTATGTAGCTTATAAATTTTATATACTTCAAATCTTGACACACTTTATATAATTGAAACAGTATTCTAATATTAAGTGTGTATGTCATTAAGTGTGTATTTATATAAGGGAAAGGGGGCAAATAAGCCCACGTACTAACAAAAAAGGTTAAATAAGCCCTTATATAGGAGGCTCTGTCCGGACGTCGCCATTCGGGGCAGTTCCCGCTAGAATTTTTTGATGATTTTTTATCATCTTATTCATTAAGTCTAGTTTACTCATACCAAATTTCAGCTAACAACTCAATCGGGAAGGTATTCAAATTAATTATTGAAGATAACTACGCTTTTAACTGCGCACTTATCTTCAAGGATTCATTTGAATGCCTTCCCGATTGAAGTTTTAACTAAAATTTGGTATGAGTAACTAGACTTAATGAATAAGATGCTAAAAAAATGTCATCAAAAAATTCCACCAGGAACCGCCCCAAATGGCGACGGCCGGACAGAACCTCCTATATAAGGGCTTATTTGACATTTTTTTGTTAGTACGTGGGCTTATTTGCCTCATATTATGATGCTTCATAAAAATATTACTATGCTTAATTTGCTATAGTTAATTATACTAACATAATAGAAATAATACAAATAAATATAAATATAACTAAATATATATACAAACATATCTATACACATATAAATAGGCTAAATAGGCTTTAGAGTTGGGCTAAGCCTGGCCTTTTTAGTTAATTGGGCTTTTCGAAAAGCCCAAGCTTACTTTGATTATTAAACAGGCTAGGCCAGACCTTAAGCAGGCCAGACCACAGGCCCGTGACAGGCCGCCTGGTCTATTCCCACCCCTAGTTTTGACCTTGAATAGAAAAAATACTCCCTCTGTATTTTATCGATACTAACCACATAAACCGACTTTTCTTATAATCAAATCACCACTTCATGTATCAATCTTAGTGGGATGAATGTAGTAATTGAATATAATATAATTTAATCCTATTAGAAATACATATGAGTTGTAAAATTAGAAAATGAAAGATGAACATACATGCATGCCCGGGCTTTGAATTTGAAAATCGTAATTTGAAATTTCACGAGATATGGTATGCATTAAGTATGAATTAATGCTGAACGACTAATATCGAAAGGGCATCTAGTACCATTCACACTATATATAGACATCCTAATCTGGAATGTGGTATCATTAATCATTCCTATTTATTTCTAAAGTCAACCCGGCCATCATTTCTTTTCTATTATTCCAATGTCCGTTTCTTAGATTATCAACAACGACAATCTTCTTCTCTCATATATGATGTGAGTAACTTGTTATGCTTCTCTTTAAATTGATCAATTCTTAGATTCCCAGATCTTTAATTAACCCACTTATCTATGAAGTGATGGAATGAATTAATCAGTTCTGATTTGTTGCTAATATTTTCCTAGTGATAGATTGATGTTCTGATGATGCAGGAATCAGGATAATAATGACCTTATTGGAGGAAACATGGGATCTCAGTCTAACCTTAATCTTCCAGGTTTCATGTCACCTTTCCGCAGCAACCCCGTTTATAATTTAGACAATCTCCCGATCATCATCTCAAATGGAGATTTCAATTTCGGAGGTCAAAATAATAACCTGGGAGGAAATGTGATGAGCGAATTCCAATTCCAACAAAACTTTTCTCAAGAGCCAAACAACAACTCTGGTTTTTTTACTACAACTGATTATCAGCCGACCAATGATGTGTATTTTTACATGCCGCCATCCGAAATCTCGTGTTTTCCGGACCATGTTTTGACTAACGTTGATTCCTCCCCTCAGACATTCTTAAATCAAGAGCCGTTAGTGCCGCTCATTACTAATAATAGTATGGGTGGGATCACTTCAGAGAGACAACATCAGGGAGACGATTATTCCTTAAACTATGTCGTGTCGATGGGGATGCAGCAACAAATTACGGCGGGCTCTTATGACATTCCTAGTACTATTAGTATTAGTAGTAACAATAGTTACAATTTCTATAACTATAATAGTAATAGTAACGCCGTCCGAGAAAGCCCTACAAATAATCAAGTTCTCATGTTACCCCCGCCTCCGAATTATAATAGTAGTAACATAGTCCTTGAAAGCCCTAGAAGCAATCCAGTTTTTGAGTTACCTCCGCCGTCTGCAGCGGCTTTGCCACCAAGTAACATAGCCTTTGAGAGCCCTAAGAGTAACCCAGTTATCAAGCTAGCACCACCGCCGACTGGTTTGCCTCCAAATAGTAGTAGTAATTACAATAACAACAGTGGCAGTGGCAAGAGATCAAAGAACAGTTTGGTTGCTCGAAAAAACAACCCTATTTCGTCAACTACACCGCAAACTTCAAGGTTAGTTTTAGTTTTAAATCATCTCTAATATTTCGTATTTATTTGTTGTAAGGCTGAAGTATGAAGAACTGATCACCGGTAATTAATTAAGACTCTTTTATAGTGATGCAAATTGTTAAATTGATTTCTTTTAAACAACCGTAAGTGGACTCTAGTGGATATACTAATATTTTATTTTATTGTTCCACGATTGTAAATCATAATAACAGTTACATAATGATGGTGTTTGTTATGTACTCTTATATACTCCATGTGACATATTCCCCAAAATATACCCCTACATATCCCAATTCCTTATTAGAAACCCTATTTAACATCATTAGTTAAGTCTGACCATTACATTTTCCACACACCATTTCATACTCCGTATGAAGTTCTATAATGCGTACTACCTTAGGCCATGTTTGGTTGGAGAGTTTTGGAGGGGAGGGAAGGAAGTGGAGAATTTATGCGTGTTTGGTTGAAGGAAATAGGAGAGAGTGGAAGGAAACTCAGACACTTCCAAAATTCTCCCCTTCCTCCCATTCTTGACTCCCAAATCGGGGTATTTCAGAGGAAACGTGTTGATAACGAAAAACTATTTATCATTTTTCTCCCAAATAATGGACACAACACAATAATATAAAAAATGTAACAAAAGGTAAAATTAAAAAAATTTAAAAAAGTTAAAATTTTAAAAAACAAAATTTTTAAAAATATTTTCTGGCAACAAAATGAAAAAAAAGTAAAATTTAAAAACTAAAAAGTTGAAACATTTTATAATAAAAAATTAAAATATTGAAAAATGAAAAATTTGAAAATAAAAAAAAAATACAAAATTTAACAATAAAAAATTTAAAATTTTAAATATTAAAAAATAAAATATAAAAAACTAAAAAAAAACAAAAAATTAAAAAATAAATAAAAAATTTAAAAAAATAAAAATATTAAAAAATTAAAAATAAAAATAAAAATAAAAAATTTTAATAAGTCAAAAATTGAAAACTTAAAAATTCAAAAATTGAAAACTCAAAGATTCAAAATTGCAAATCTCTAAAATAAAAAATAAAAATTCAAAAATTTGAAAATTAAAAGAGTAAAAAAATCAAAAGTTCAAAAAAAGAAAATAATGCTAGGAGTCATGACCTTAGGAGTAATATTTATAATAGTTAGAGATGTATCTAATTTTTATATAATTTATCAAATAAAGATAAATTAGGAAAATATTTTTTATTAAACTCTGCTCTAAATTCCTTCAACCAAACACAAATTTTTATCAAAATCTTTCTTTCCCTTTCCCTTTCCTTCCCTCCTTGACTCTCCTCTTCCCTACCCTCCTTTCAACCATACAAGATCTTAGAGTCTTAGACTTCATAATCTTTGCCTTCTGGTAATATAATGCTATTAATAATTTTGTGTGTGTGTGTGTGTGTGGGGGGGGGGGGGGGGGGGGGCATATGAAATTAGATGACGTGATTATAAAAATAACAATGATGAACCGATGAAAAAAATGAATGATGACATATTTAACACACATTCTATATTATGTGTAAAATCATCTGCACGGAACATAAAAGGTGTTCTGTGCAAATTAGTACCATTCTATATTTAACACACATTTTTTTTTTGTAAAATCATTTGCACAAAACATAAAAGCAGTGACGGATGTCCTTTATGCAAGGGTGTTCACATGAACACCCAAAAATAAAAAAACAATAGGAATATGTATATCTGAATTAAAGCAATAATTTGTTTAATAGTATTTTAAAGAGAAAATGTGTAATTTTGAACACCCAAAATGTAATTACTCGGTCCGCCACTTCATAAAAGGTGTGTGTCAATAAATAGTACCATGTGCGCATTACACTTACAAGTTAGTAAATGTTTTTAAAACATTCATAGTACCATTCACAATGTATTGTGTCACATTTACACCAAATATACATTATTTATATTAGTAACTCTTACACATTATCGTACATATGTACTTGCAACTTTTTAATCGTCATTTACATAAATATGCAGTATGAGTACATAATGATTTTAAATAACATGAAAATTTTACTGTGTTAACTAAAGTGATACGGATGAATTATTAATTTTTTAAATATTTTTCAATCTCTCCTAATCTAACATTCAAAATTAAAAAATCTTCCCAAAGTTGCCTTTCAAAAACAAAAACCTCCCCAAAGTCTCTATATGGAAAAAAATTAACATCCGCTTGATTTCACTCTAAAGTTTTCACTACAATTTTTAGTGGTTGTTGGAGATTTTTAGTGTGGAGTTGGCCAGCTGGTGAAATAAATTATTTCCATTTTAATGAATGTCTCTAAGGTTTTCTAGAAAGAAAGTTTACATACATAAAAAAAATGAATTTTATCAACTCATGTGGGTTGAATATTAATCCAAAACAAGAAAGATGAAAATTAGCAATATAAGACTCAAATGTTTGAAAACTATCAATCCAAAACTTAATATGGTGTTTTTAATTTAACATTTTTTAAATATATTTAACTATTAAACAATTATCAAAACTTAGCAATGAAACAAATAAGATATATATGATAGAAATAATTGTTTTTTGATATTTTAAGTATTTGATTGATAGTTTCTATGATTCTTATCTTGTATCGACAATTTTTATCTTTCAAGTCTTGAATTTATAGTTAACCTGTAGTTCACATCTTGTACTAATAACACTCTATAAAAAATGAACTAATGTGGAAATCAAAGGAAATGCAAATAATGAAATTAGTCTTAGCTAGGTTGTATGTTTTGTGGTGACATGCTATGTTGCACGGATACGGATACGCCGATACGCGGATACGCGGATACGGGTACGGCGATACGGCACTTTCAAAAATTATAGGATACGGGTACGGGGGTATATTTATAAATAATAAAAATATAGGGTATAATTTGCAAATATATATAATTCAGGGGTTCATAAATAAAATAATAATAATAGTACAAAAAATTAACTATTATAATAAAGTTTCAAAGATTAGTCTAAAAAACTAAAATATTGATATTTTGATTTAAATTCAAATAATTTTTTTTTGTTCTCTATTTGCATTTACATCCAAGTCTTGTTTCAATTAAATATCATCAAGCAATGAAATGTCAAATTATTTTTCATACTCCCGAAACCATCTTTATCAATGTTCCACATGTTGTGGTCGCTTGGTTGGCTACTAAATTTTCGTCATGTCGTGTATAAAATGAGGGGTTATAGGTTCAGATACGCGTATCGGTTCACGGATACGGGTATCGGAAGTATCGGTATTTTTAAAATTAAGCCCGATACTTTTATTAAATTACGGATACGGACCCAATACGTACAGGACGGGTATCGGTGAGTATCGGATACGGATACGTATCGGATACGCGGATACGGCATCGAAGTGAAGTATCGGTGCAACATAGGTGACATGTACCGTTTCACTTGGATTGATTTAAATCTCAAACTAGATCATACAAACCAAATCATATCCGACTTTGATAATACAAAGTAGTTAAATACACATAATATGAAACCTTATTGGACAAAATCAATCAAATTAGGCTTGCATAGTACTAGAATTCATATATATATATATATATATATATATATATATATATATATATATATATATATATATATATATATGGGAAAGATCAAGTACAAAATGTGTTTATTGTGAAAATGTTTGTACGATGCACTTTGACATTATTTGCATTGCATATTGAGGTTCAAAGTGTTGCATATTATATACTCATAAAATAGCAGTTGCACATTAACGTTCAAAGAGTTGCACCATAGAAAAGTTAGGTTTTATTACAAAAATGCCACCTTGCCTTTATATCCTTTAGATCAACTCATCCGATGACCAAGATAAGTTTGTACTTTGTAGATTAAGCATGATTTGTATTTGATCTCAATTCTACACACACACACACATAGGGGGGGGGGGGGTTCTAATGAGAACCCCTCTTAAAATGAGAACCCGTGAGAACCCCTGAGAACCGGTGGTATTTATGGCTAAAATGTTTTGTGTATGTTCATCATCAAGTCTAGTTCATCCATACCAAATTTGAGCAAAAAATTCAATCGGGAAGGTCGTTAAATTTATTTATATTTTTAAGATACAAATAAATAATTTAGACATGAAAATACATATTTAAGCATATACTCGTATCATTTTAACTTTTACACATTTCATACATTTATTATGGCAAAGTTAGCTAATACGACATATTTGTATTTATCATGTTTGGCGATAAAAATAGCAAATTGCATTTATATTTTACATGTTAGCTAACCGAAACCGAATCGAAAAAAAAAAAAAACGAAAAACAAATAGTTTTAGTTTGGTACAAATTCTCCCAACCTGAATAAACCGAAACCGAAGAAAACCGAACCGTAAACCGAATTTCCCACCCCTAATATAAATCTATGTATATATATACATATGTATATATATATATGTATATATATATGTGTGTGTGTGTGTGTCTATATATATATATATATATATATATACTCCAACAGTAGTAGGTCGGGGTAATATACCCCAACATATATATATACCCCAACAGTAGCAGGTCGGGGTAATATACCCCAACATATATATATATATATATGTATATATATATATATATATATATATATATATATATATATATATATATATATATATATATATATATATATATATATATATGGAGTGGTTCTAATGAGAACACTCCTTATTGTGAGAACGTGAGAACAAATCTTAGCCATACATCATAGTAAATTAAAGGTCATAAAAGGATGAGATGCATGGATTTATCATGGGAGTGCAAACATGAAATAAATACTCTTGCACTATCTAATCCATACGTAGGCTAATGAAGGACACTAGAGTAATTTTAAGCAATTGTTTAATGTGGCATCGGTTGGAACTTTATCACTTACCAAAAAATCAGGAAAAGATAAAAGGTCAAATCATATAAAATATTTTAGTTTAAGAATTGATTTAACTTTTTTAATTATAATCTGATTTTAACAAAAATTATATCGAATTAAAGAGTTTTTTATTATCTTTCAAATGACACCAATATGTCATATATAATTTTGTTTTAAAAAATATAAGTATAATATGTATACAATAAACCACAACAAACATCTTTGACTACGCATACACAAGAATATGTATCTGACACACAACTACTAATATATAACACACAAGAACAAGTATCTAGTACACAATTCGTGTAAGAAAAACTAAAACAAGTATCTTAAGCACAACATCCAATATCTAATGCACAAAGAGCAGTGTCTAACACAACAATTAAAAACTACTACACACAATAAGAATTTCACACAACTTAAACTAATATATAACACACAAGAATCAGTATCACACACGACAATTAATATTTAAAGCACATGAACCGAACATCTTACTCTTTGTTTGGATAATATATATGTTAGCACATGAATAAATTTATCAAATTAAATATTTTTTTTAATTATCTTTCATATGACATCAATATGTCATATATAATTTTGTTTTGAAAAAATAAGTATAATATGTATATAAATGACCACAACAAACAACTTCAGCTACCGCATGCACACGAATATACATCAGGCACACAATCACTAAAATCTAATGCACAAGAACCATTATCTACCACGTAATACGTATAAGTAAAATTAAAAAAAGTATCTTAAGCACAAGAGCCAATATCATACGCACAAATGCACATGAAAAAGTATTGTGCAAATAATTCGTATATAACACATTAGAATCAATGTAATACACATGAAACATGTGCAAATATATTATAATGTGATGCACAAGAATGAATATATAATGCAAATGAAATGAATATGTATGAATTGAAAGATAACAACAATTATAATGTATCAAAAGATTCCAAAATAACTGATTATATTCAATATAATAACATCAAAAAGTCAATTGCCAACCAAAACTAAATACGTAGGTGAACTAAGCTTAAATAATGATGACCGGTCAAATACTTACCAAATTAAATAACCTACGAATGATTACTAATATAATTCCATTTAATGCTTCCACTAATAAAGCACTCAACGTATTAATCAAAAAATCAGTTACACAAACCGCCACAATATATACCCTTTATACCCTTTAGTTGATCGTATGTTAGCATATATTTTGGATGGCCAGGATGTGTTCTCACGTACTCACGTTAAGCCTCGTTCTCATTTGAACCAATATATATATATATATATATATATATATATATATATATATATATATATATATATATATATATATATATATATATATATATATATATGTTGGGGTGAACCCTATTTTGTGAACCCTATTTCAGCCATATTATGTTACTACCGTTTGGTCGCGCAAGGCGCGACAATTTTTGCCCAATATTAAAATAATGTTCTTTTTCTAAATAATTACTACTTTTCTCCCTCTAACATTAGAAAATGAGATTGTGGTGCAATTATTAAAAAAATGAGTTTATGCGGTTGATACTAAATTGACAAACTAAAAATGATTTAGACCCACACAATTTTACCATATTTGGTACTTCATCCGTCCCATTTAAAGGTTCTCGCTTTCCTCTTTTGGACGTCTCACTTAAAGGTTATCACTTTCTATTTTAGGAAACAATTAGCACTTTTAAATGATAATGTAATCATCGATCAAGTACTAAAAACAATACATTTATAAAATTATAGTTATCATCAATAACACTGTATATTATATACTTATCAAAATTATTTCTCAAAATATACTTGAATTAGCATAATTAATTATTGTCTAAATAATTGTGTCATTTTGCCATGAGAACCTTTAAATGGGACGGAGTTAGTATAAGACAATCTTAGTAGAACGATTCGAAAAGAAAATAGACAATCTATCTTAGTGGGACGGAGAGAGTATTATATATATGATATTGTTATGAATTATTCTTAAATAGTGTAAAAATCACAATGACAAAATCTCAAACTTAAAATTCTTTTATTCATTAAACTTTTTTTAACAGTAGCAAGGGTGTAAACTAAAAAATCACAATGATTAGATTTCAAACTTAATATTCTTCTTTACAAAAAAAAACTCATAATCAAGTAAGTGCAAAATTTAAGTTCGGGAAGAAATCATGTACATATTAAGAAGGATCACGTACCTATTAGATTATTAGCAATGACTAAATCTTAAACTTAACGGAAGTTAACTTCAGTTAGTATATTAAGGGTAAAGAAGTCACGTGAGAAAGTAGGTTCCACTTTCTAAGAAAAATGTACAACTTGTGATGCACAAAGTGTATTGACATAAATTAAGGGTATCAACCCTCATTCATAAATATAATGTTGTTAGATATTGTTAAATAGATTGGAACTAGTTTTGCTTTGTTGTTTCCTTGTTATGGATTTGTCTTTCATATTTCCTTCACTATTAACGAATTTTGTCATCTCTTCTAATTTAAGAAAGTGAGGTTGAACCAATATATATATATATATATATATATATATATATATATATATGTTGGGGTATATATAGTATATATATGTAAGGTATACCTTACCGGAAATTTTTCCTATATATATATATATATATATATATATATATATATATATATATATATATATATATATATATATATATATATATATATAGGAGCCCTGTCCGGCCTTCGCTGTTTGGGGCGGTTCTCGGTGGTATTTTTTCTAAAATTGTGTTTGTGTGTTCTTCATCAAGTCTAGTTTTATCCACACCAAGTTGCAGCTAAAATTTCGATCAGAAAGGCAGTCAAATGATTTTCAGAAGATAACTGCGTTTTATATGTATACAAATGGCACAGTTATCTTTCAAAAATCATTTGACTGCCTTCCGTATTGAATTTTTAGCTGAAATTTAGTATGAATAAACTCGACTTGTTGAATAACATGCACAAACAATTTCAGCAAAAAGTATCACCGGGAACCACCCCAAAAAGAAGAGGCTAGACGGTGTTCTGGTTAGAAATTTCCTGACCAACAGATTACTCTACACACACACACACATCTTTTTTATCTGTTTATCTTACCACTTTTATCTTTGTCTTTATCTTAATTAATTTTTTTTATTCTTATTTATCATACCTTATCTTTTTATATTTCTTATCTTTCTTTTATTTTTTGCTCTGATATTATGTATTGATTCACATTAGCCGAATCCAAAACCAGCTTTTAGCACTAAGGTTTTGTTGTTGTTGTTGTTGTTGTTGTTGTTGTTTTGACCTTAAATAGAAAAATTCTCCATTTGTATTTTAAGGAAAAAAACATACTTAATTAGTACTCTATATTTTAGAAATGTACCTGTTATTTAGTCCTCTTTTGAACATTTTTTTATAACTTTAACCTTTTTAATGATATGAGCCCAGGGTGGGGCCGGGTAGGCCACGAACAAGAAATACTCAACGACCATCTCCGTCTTCGTCGACATCTTCATCACCATCGGCATCACCAGCATCATCAACATTAGCGTCAAACATACTTGGGGCTAATCAGTTCTTCAACAAAGGACTTTTAGGACATTACCAAGCATTGGCTAACAGGCATGCACTGCATGCATCAAATTTTCATTTCTTTCACTTGTCAGATATGTGCTTGTGTGTTATAATCAACCTTGTATATTACCATAAGTAATGTAATGTTTGATCTGCATGCAGAGGTTATACGCGCAGCTCCTACCCCTACTTGGCATCTTCTAGCAGGTTTGTGCATTTATATACATTGCATGTGTCTGTTTGATCTATCCTAATCATTTAATCTATCTTTGGTTGGTCTGATAGATACAAAATAAAGATAAACTCATCAAATACTCTGTATAAGTGTCACAAAAATAGAATGTTATTTGTTAGACTGCAAATTGGCTTGAATAATTGATATTGATTGGAATTGTCTAAAGTGAAGAGGAGTACTAGTGATCGGGTCAAACATGCCACATACACGTGCAACCAAGGATATAATTATTTAACGTAATCCCCGATGGAAGAGGTGCGGACCTGTAAGGGAGGAAATGAGGGTGGTTAGTTCAACCGTTCCCTAGTTTGATGGGAGGTTACCACTTTTAATGGGATAGGAGCATATCGGTTCAGGGGAGCTTCAATTTAGTTCAATATATAGTTGTAACTAGTTATATGACGCGCGTTGTGCGAAAAGAAAATGCGCAATATAATTTTAAGTGATAATATATTGGGATAAGTGGTTAAGATTTATTAAGGGTACATAACAAATTAGTAGTACAATAATAAGAATAAGCTTTTTGTGTAAGTGCTGCTTATGAAAGAGGCATTTTTATTGGCCTGTAACTTTTTGTATAACTATCATCTAACCTTCATCTATATTCAGTAAAAGTTTAAACAAAGAGCTTAACTGATGCAAGGAAGAAAATTTAAAGGCACTCTAAAGAGATAACCATGAATCTGCTATATATATGTACATAAGTTTTTTCTTGAAATCAAAGTCGAGTAAACAAGGTGTCAAAACTTGCACTACTGATGCATAGTAAAGGCCGACCACATACTACGCTCACAAACGGAGTTGAGGATCACAAAGCAACCAATTCTTATATCAGTACTCGAAGACTTAAGTTTATATTTCAAGAAACTGTGAATGTTAATCCAACCACATAAAAAACCCTAAGATGTTGACTTTAAGCTTGTACCCATATTGAGGTATTGTCTAACACCATAAGTATATAATGCACCAGTTGAGTATAATTGAGTTATATGTTAAGAGCGCGCGTACACGATCACGTCCAAGGTCGAGAACGAGACAAAGGAAGCGAATTCAAGTACTGAGATGAATAAATTTTCGGATCTATGATGAGCCAAGAGAGAGAATGAAAATAAAAGATTTTATTGGAATTAATTCAGTGCCCCACCTTGTCAAGACACAACAATTAATTCTGCCAAATAACCCCTCTAAAACAACTGAGGAACCATATATAAAGGTCTTACAAGAGTCCTAAAAGAGAATTAGGAAACTTACTAAAACCGAATTAAGAAACTCACTTAAAACTGAATTAGGAAACTTGCTAAACTGATTTAAAAAGCAGTAAAGTAAATGCATGAACTTGCTCCCAAAGTCAGCCACTTTCAGTGGTCTCATTGGGCTGAATGTCTTTGGCCCAATCACCCATTTGGCCAATCCTGCACCTTTGATATTTTTGGCCCCAAAACATGTCCATAACATCACTCTCCTCGTTGACTAGGAGCTTGTCTTCAAGCTCAAAATCTGGATACGCGGCCCGAAATGTATCTGCGGGTTCCCATGAGGCTTCTTCAATTGATTTCCCCTTCCACTAGACCAGGAATTCTAAGGAGCCATGATGCAGATGGTTGCGGAGAATAGCAAGCAATGTAATTTTGTCATGGGGATTGACTAGCAACGGCAAAGTTCCCATGGTTGTGGGTGGGTTCCCTTTGTGTGGCTTTAAAAGAGAGACATGAAGCACATCTTGAATGTGGCTCGCTGGTGGTAATTTCAAGGTGTATGCTGCTTCTCCAACTCGTGACTGAACCTGAAATGGTCCATGAAACTTTGGAGATAGTTTATGGTTACCGCATCCTAGGGAGAGTTGTCTATGAGGATGAATGCGTAGCCAGTCCCAATCTCCTGCATGGAAGGAAAGATCGAGATGAGTTTTGTCATTCTGCAGCTTCATACATTCTTGGGCTTGAGCTAGTCGCTCTCGGGCCTTAGCCAAGAGTTGATCCTGGCTAAGAAGCTCATGGCCCACACCCTCTAATCGTGCCGTCCCAGGGACATATGAGATAACTTTAGGTGGATCACGAACATAAACAAGACAAAAGGGTGTATCCCCCAGAGACGTATGGTAAGAGGTGTTGTAGCAGTATTCCACCCATGGGAGCCAACGAACCCGCTCTTTTGGGTAATTACTTGTAAGGCATTGCAAAAACATTCCCAAAGTACAATTTACTACCTCAGTTTGACCAACGGTTTGAGGATGATAGGTAGAGGAAAAGGCCAATTTAGTGCCCGCCAACCAAAATAGTGCTTTCCAAAACGAAGCCACAAATATCTTATCCCGGTCAGAGATGATAGATCTGGCAGTCCATGTAAGCGGAATATCTCTACGAAAAAGACCCCTGCAACAAAAATTGCCGTGAACGGGTGTGCTAATTGACTGGGCTAAACTTGCAAGTGTGCAAGTGCAGATATAGTAATAAATTCCGGTAAAATACCGGGTCGAATCCACATGGAAACGTTATTTAATTTAGTCCGAGAGTATTTGACTTTAAATAAATAAATGAATAAAGTGAAAGGATTTTGATTTGTGTTTTATATTTTTGACTTTTCACTTTTAATTCAAGGAAATAACTTTAATTAATTTGGATTTAAGATGAATGATAACAACGGCTAAGGCTTCGGGAATCACTTAGATGCTTTATTAGGCTTGAATATTAGTTCTTTACCAATAATTATGAATAAAATGTCGCTAATATATTCTCAACTCCGGTTAAGGCAGCGAAAGCGTGGTTTTCGTTACATTCATCTACCAAAAACCCCGTTGAATATCAAGACATCACACCCGTATCATATAATACCGGATATATTTCTATTCTCGGTAATATATATGTTTATCCTTTAATGTTCATAGTTTAGACTTCAACGTTAATTTCAAGCATAAACCAAATTTAACATATTTCTATGTTGTACACCATAGTCATAAACAATCAAAATATAAAGGATAAATCACAATTTATTGGTTTAGAACTTTTATCAAACACCTAGTGGGCATAGAAGTTCATCCCTAACCTTAGCTAAGAACTTAGCTCCTTCAGCTCATACTAATTACAAAAGTGTAACTAAGAACGATGAAATACAATAACATACAAGAAATAATACCTAGAACCAATTGTAGAGGAGAGAAATGGCTTCTTCTCCAACACTTCAAGAGAATGCAAAAAGAAAATATAAAAACTAAAATTTAATCTTCAAGAATGGAATGATGATCTTGTTTGATGAATTGGGGGCTTTATATAGACTAAAGATTGTCATATTTTAGTCTATTCAAGCCCAACAATCAGGCATGGAAGATATATTTGATCAGATCATAAGGAAAGTGGAGTTTTCCCATCAAAATATGGCTGCATGTCTTTGTGTTTTATGCAGATTCAGGCTTAACCGGCGCCGGTTTTACTTCGGGGCTGGCTATACTGAAAAACACCATAACCGGCACCGGTTATAGGGGAAAACCGGCGCCGGTTATAGGGGAAAACCGGCGCCGGTTATACTTCAGCCAGCCGGGAAAATGGCAGATTAAATGCAACCGGCGCTGGTTTGGTGAAATTCCGGCGCCGATTTTGTCCTGAGATTTTGGGGATGTTCCGCTACGAATTTGGACATGAGCCCTTCACCAAAGTTGTAGCTAATGAAGTCTTCTATCCAGCAAAACTTGAACGAAGTGATTTTAATCATCCAATCAAAAGTTATAGATAAAACATTGAGAGGTATGCATCCTGAAATCGCACCAGAAACATCTAACTTTATCGGTTGATTGAGTCTTGTTCCTTTCATATTCTGGCCATGACGTCTTCTTAACATTTGTACCTTATTGAGTTACCATTCACATGAAATTCGAATCGAGTGATTTAGAGTTCTATACAATAAGTTATACTCGGATTATGGGCAGAACGCCATTCTCTTGGTTTAAAACGCCGTTCATCGCAATATTTTATGCTCTAGCTCTCATTCTGAAGGTATTTGCCCGATTTCTCTTCTTTTCTTCAACGAACACTTATAAATACTTATGTTAAACACAAGTAAATATAACGGCTATCACTAATGGAAGAAACTGCGCTCCTTTGGAAAGACGATCAACAACCACCAATATCACTCTCTTGTCTTTCACCTTAGACAACCTGATAAGTCCTTATTTAGACACACATTTGATGCGTGTTGAGATCGGCTTTTGATGATTTTCCTAGCTTTAAGGTGTTACAAGTCTCAATTTTAGCTCAAGTTATGTTTACCGGGCGTTGATTCGAGTTTTGTGTTGTTTTTAGTCAAAATCAGGGAATTTGAGCCCGGGGGTACCAGCACTTGAGGAACAATCGGGATGATTTGAGAAGCATTTGAGAATGATTTGATAGCTTTGGAGGTCACCGGAAGATTCACAATGAAGATTTGAAGGAAAAAGAGGTCTAGGATTGGCTACGGGGTCAAAAGAAGATGAACGAAGCTTGAAAACGACGATCAGTATGACCTTCTGTCAATCGTTCAAGCATATCTCTTTGTAGAAACATCCAATGTACACGATTCAAGTTCCATAGGAAAGCCAACTTCAAGGTCTACAAATCATATGAAGACACCTTTGCTAGAATCTGAGAGGACGAAGGTGAAAACAGACGATGAAGTCAGATGATCTCTGCTGCGATTTCAGAAAGACACCTTCCACCGTTTTGATCATATATCTTGATTGGATGATTCAAATCACATTCGGCAAATTGGGGTGGATATAGAACTTCATTATCTACAACTTTCATGAAGGACGTTGTGTCAAATTCGGAAGTCAAGTAGGCACAATTGTGCCCTCAAAGTCAGACACGATCGTGCCTGAAGAGAAAAGCACCGCGGAGTTAATGCCAGCCAAGCACGATCGTGCCTGGAGGGAGGCACGATCGTGCCTGCCCAAAATGCGCGTTTTTGCTCCGGAGGCACGATCGAAGGCACGATCGTGCCTGGCATCGTGTCTGGCTCCGAAAATCCTAATTCAGCTCAAATTTCACCCGATTTTTCTATTTAAACAGCCTGTAAACCCCCGTTTTCAAGGGGGGAGCTTAGAGAGAGTGCCTAGCACGAATTTTAGAGGGCTTTTCAGCCTTGTTCATCAATCTTTTGGGATTCTTTGTAAGTTTCACCTTTTTAATTTATGACAATTAATTCTTTTTATTCCAATTCTATTGATTCTTCAATTATGAATTGTGAATAGTTTTAATTAGGGATTTGGGATTGATGAAGGGGTTAATCATGATGTATGGCTAGATTCTTTTCGGTTTAATAATTGCATGAATGCCGTTTAATTTGTGTTTGAATAATTTAATTGATATCTTTTGTAACATAGAATCGCGACTAGAATTACAATTGCATGTAGAATAAATTAAGAGAGATCTAATTTGTTCTAGGACACATTCACACACACTTAATCGTTCGCTAAGAGATTAGTAACGATTAAGGGGCCGTAAGCTCGCTCGTCTTGGCAATAATTTAGGATCCTGTCGTATGAGAGATCAGCCTGGTCCCCTAAATTATTGTACTCTACGCCGCGAGAGCGGTAAGAACTTAGTAATGATTAGCTAGACTCAATTAAATTAATTTCATGTAATTAGGCCTGATCTGCCAGAAATCTGGTTACCCCGGAATCAATCCATGTTCCCTTCGTCATTAATTAGAAAGAACCCCCTAGTTTAATCGTTTTATTCGCATTTTTATTTTCCAGCAACCAATCTCGCACGACGCATTTTTATTTATTTCTTTTTAATCGCTGAATTTAGTTAATCTTTGATTCCCTTTTGTCCGTCCCTGTGGAGATGATACTCGTACTTACACCACTATATTACAATATTTTTATGTGCGAGAAAACACACATCACAACCCTTCTAAAAAATCCATTGATATATCTGCCCAAATGTGCAAGTTCAACCATTTATGTTGCTGACAGTCTGACAATACTGAATAAATGCTGCCACACTTGATTTTTTGCTAGGTCAGAAAAACTCCCAACGGAGACACTGCAACGTCTTTTCCACCCCTTCATGGGCGAAATAATGGCGAAGGAATCCATTAGATATAGTTCAGACTTGAAATAAACTAACCCATCTACCAATGTCCAATCTCTTGTGCGCCAGATTTGTTATGACGCCCCTATTAAGTTTTCCATCGGTTGCTTGACTTAATAGTACCTCTAATCTGCTTCTCTTTTGTGTAGTTAACTCCAGTCGTGGTTGTGTTTGTGCTTCACCATTGTCTGTCTTTTGTGGTTGACTACTTGTTGTGTGATCTCTTCTGCAGGTACAATTTGAAGAAGCTCATGCCTGCCATCTTGTATAGGTAGGGGATTAAGATCAAAGGGAGTATAAGAGATTTCAGAAGAGGAAGCAAGAGGAGTAAGAGAAGAGGATGGCAAAAAGGAATAACTTTCCATTTGAAGTTCTTTTCCATACCCCAGATTTTATTATTTCCATGTTTACTGACTTAAAAACTTGGTTGTATTGTTGCGAACTTCCTTTTATTGGTAATATTCTGTCTTGGGTCCCAACAGAATGTCTATAATTGTATGAATGTCAGTAGCATGCTCCACTTTTGGCTTTTTAACCGTGTCCCCCCATTTTATTTTACCCCCATTTTAACTGTTTTGCTAGGGGTATAACGAGAAAGTCAATGCCAGTTATTTTTCTTCCTAAAATCATGTGAAGTCAAAGTGAAAACTTAAATACGGGACGGAGGCAGTATAAAACTTCACGTACATTCGTCTGTCTCGTACTCTCATGCACACAGAATAGTCTGTCCACACACGACTCTTTAGAGTCGTCTGTGGACAAACAATTCTGTGTGCGTATAAAAAAAGATAAGTGTACGAAAGGTGTACACAAAAATGTGTACACCAAACACTTTTCTTAATCGAGACACAAATTATTTAATAATCAACAAAGTCCTCAACATTTACATATATAAACATGTAAGTAAAATACTTAACTAGCTTCTATAACTAGCCAATAAGTCTCGACAATACAGAGTTAGAGTAAATGTACGGACACAACACATTCATACAAACCACTATATCACTTTTGCACCACATCTTCTTTCATTGAACCTTGGCCGGTTGATGACCTAATATATCAGATTTTTTGTCTTTTCTTTGAAAACCTTACATAAATAGTCACATCTTTCACCAATTTGCTCAAAATAGTCCCATGCTTCTTTTTCCTCCCTAAAATTTTTCTTTCTTTACTTTTTCAAGCTAAGTACCAAGGTTAACAAAATAGCCTGTTCTGTTGAAGAACAGACTGAGAACGAATGGTCTTTTGGTAGGGGTTCTGTCTGGTTAGCCTCACAGAGGTGCAAAGACAATAGGCCTTCTGTTAACTCTTAAGACTTGTTCTGCTGAGCACAAAGACCAAGTCTATGGAGTTAAGCAGTTTGAGATAAATACAAGTATTAAAAGCAGTAAGTAAGTGACACAGGGGATTTTTACAGTGGTTCAAGGAACAACTCTTTCTTCTAGTCCACTGTTCCACTAAGCTTGTAAAAGTCACAATTACACAGCCTTAGTCCTAGCACTTAAGAAGCTCTCCACGTCTTCTTCAAGTGTAGATGTCTCCTGGGATGCACTTCTTGGCTTCCTTTAAGACTGGTCCTTTCACTGAGCTTCCTTGAAGTATACCCACTTCACTACTCCAGTTACTTGAACACCCTTCTTTTGCAAGAAGATTGTTTTGATAAAAATAGATTTCTCCAACGTGGCTTCGTTACAAAAGATATGTAGATGAGGCTTTTGAAGTGTTGAAGAACTGGAACTTTGCTCTTATTGGATATGGTAGATGTGGAAAAAATATCTTTTCCAACGTAAGCGTTTCTTGTTGAGGAAGATGAAGTTCATATCTCAAGAAAGCTTGAAAATTGTAGAGAGCAAAAGTTATCTCGGTAGTTCTTCAAAGTGTGTCTTATATACCGAGAGTTGTCTTCCCGTTGGAGTGTAGAAGACAGCTTCATTAAATGCTCGTACTGTAGATTTGGCCGGTTGGTTCCAAAAGCAGACGGCTTGCTATTTTTGGGCGCATACAAAATATTCTTTTTGGATCTTTGGTCAATCATAAGCTTTTAAATATCTCAACGTGTGAAGCACATTAAATGGGCATTTAATGTGCGTACTGTATCTTTCCCGTTGAGAGGCTCCTAGCCATTAAGGTATATCCAGTTAGTTTAACCGGCTTAGGTAACAACGAAATTCTCTAAGTGTGAGGCCATCTGTTGCTTTATATAGAGGGGCAATCTCAGAGAGCCTCGAGCACTTCTGTCCAGTAGAAGTCCAACAGAGGGCTTGAAGGTCTTCTGTCCAGTCGATTATTCTAATGCTTACAAGTAGAAATTTTTAATACAATCTTCTAATGGGGTTCTGATCTAAAAGCCTAAATAGTCTAGCATCATCAAAATCTAAATACAATTTATTCCTTACACTCTTATCCCTTTTTGATGATGTCAAAACACTTATTCTACTTTCCAGAGATGTGCCATTCACCTTTTAAATAAATTGAAATGGAGAAATTTCCATGTGACTTTCTAAACTTGGTGGGCGACATGCATAAGAAAGCAGTAAGTATTCCAAGAACCGTAAAAACAAGCATGATTGCACTAAATAAACAATATTTTTTATTTAAGAGCACTGGGTCAAGATACAGACAGAAGAAGGATTAAATAAACATTTTACAGAGAACAATATCTCTAAACATTTTTCAGTGAACAATTTCTCCTCCTATTTGTCTTCTAGTCTGTTCCCCCTTTATTTTCTACTTCGTGCTCTTCTCCTTCTTAGTTCTCATCTCAGTTCTCTTCCCCCTTTTTGGCATCAGCCATATTGAGAAACATTAGATGCAATTGTTTGGTTGCATCAGTCAGTGTAAGAGTGGCAGAATGAAGAGCTTTTATGGAGCTCTGTTGATGTTTATGATCAGCCTCAACCTTCTGTGAGAGAAAGTTGACGCACTCCATTAGAATGGAGAGAGCTTCCCTGACCTCTGTCAAAGAGTTCATCATGAGATTCACTTCAGAAGAGATGTTGTTAGACCCCAGATTTTGTTGAACTGTTTTGATGATGCCAAAAGCTTTTGTTATCCTCCCTCTATTATAGTATTATTATAGGAGTCTTTGCTATCCTCTTCTGTAGCATCTTGCAGTTGTCTAGTACTAAGAAAATTATCTAGATGTTTCGTGCTCCTGTTATACAGTTAACAAATAAATATGACTGGAAAACCATAAAATGCAATAAGGCAATATTGTATTGCCTTAAAAGGATATCGTATAAATCCAACCAGTTAAATTTATTTGTTACACAATAACATCTCGCACAAATAAACTATCTATTTTAACTGGAAAACAAAAAGCAATAAGGTAATTTTACCTTAATAGGAGTTGATATCCTACCGGTTAAATAGTTAGCTTATCATGTTCAAAATACTAGATAAACCGTACACTCAGAGGAAGAGTTCTTGATATTCTATTCACTACAACAAATAACAATGTAAAATCTATATAACAAAAAGAACACACTGGGATTCAAAATGAAATAAGGTAAAGTTGTCTTTATCTTAAAATTGGATATTTAAATCCAACCAGTAAAGTGTTATTTGATATATAGATAAATCAAAGTGAACAAGAATAGTGAACAACTAACTGGAACACAAAAATGCAATAAGGTAATAACTTTTACCTTAAATAGGATTTGTTATCCTACCAGTTAAGTTGTACACAATACCTGCTAAACTACACAAGTACTTAAAAGTGACAAGAATTCCAATGTACAAACTATGTATCAGATTAAACATACTGGAACTATAAAATGCAATAAGGTAAAAATTATTTACCTTACGTGGATATTTAGATCCAACCAGTATAGCTTTAATTTGGTACATAAGTTTAATCATGTCACTTAAAGAAAGAAAGTGATTAGTAAAATAAGTGACAAATTTTACTGTGAAATTTGTACCAAATAAATTGTACTGGAAAGAACAAAATGCAATAAGGTAATCTTATTACCTTAATAGGATATTTCAAAGATCCTACCAGTACAAAATTTATTTGATACAAAATATTCTAAGTCACACATTTTTACTTCACTACACAAATTGAGCAGGTTCACGCACTCAGCTTTACAAGTGTAGTTGCAAGACAAGGCTAATACACTCAGAACGCAAGAGGAGAGAAGACATCTGATTAGGTGAATAGTGAAGAGTTTCAGAATAGACATGCAGCGATAAGAAGGCCTAAGGTATGGGTGTTATCTTCGTACAAAGCAAGTGGTCTTCAAAAGACAAATCCTTATCCCGCTCCAACACAAGAAGACGCAAGTACAATACTTTGGACGTCTAGGATTAAATCCTCTTAACCAACGGAGGAGATTAATCTACTGGAGATGCCTATAAAAATAGGCAGAAGCATGAGATCAAAGGCAAGTCATTGAGTTCAAAGCAAGTGGTTCAGTCATTACACTACGCATATCCAGCAAAAGAAAAAGTGCTTGAACACTCTGCTTTGACTCATGCTTCACTAAGCTCTTAGACTAGATCATTCATTGTAACATTTATAGAGCTTAGGTTTTAGTTGGAGGTTAGACACTTCGTGAATCAATTCATGTTGTTGTAAACACTTAGGAGAACAGTTGTTCGGATCCTAAAGTGTGGTTAGATAGATAGAGTACCTTTTGATCCCCACTGGATCAATTGAGAAAAGTCTAAGGACTGAGTAACTTTGAGTGGTGTTATACTCATTGTGAAAAACCTTCAATCTAGGCCAGAGTTGTCAAGGCTAGATTGGCACTAATTGTATTGGGCTGAATACTTTAGTGGAAATCCATCTGAAATAGGGTGGGACTGGATGTAGGAGGATTACACCACCTCTGAACCAGGATATATCGTGTGTTGATTTACTTTCATACATACAGAAGCACACACCAAACACATCTCACTAAAGGATTGAAGTTTGCCAGCAGCATCCTAAGCAGTAGTCTTCATCGACTGTACTGCTTAGCCTACTGCTTAATAACTCACTCTCCTTGAGAGTGTTTTCCACTAGAAGTTATCTTACACTCAGAAGGTGCCTCAGCAGTAACCTGGTCTTCACCCTCCTGCTGAGCCCACTGCCCATTTATATGTGTCTTTCCGAACGCCATAACAAGCCAGAACAAAAAGCCATCCAAGAGTCATCCTGTTCTTAACAGTTGCCTCAGCAGTAACCTGCCCACCTGCCAACTGCCAATTCAGCAGTTGCCTGCCAATCAGCAAACTGCCTGTGCAGCAGTAGACTAAGCAGTTATCTGCTCACCAGTCTACTGCCAAGCCTACTTCCTCTTGTCACCAGTCTAAACATCATCTAAACTAGAAAGTTGTCTCACATCAAGTATAAAGAGGTTAAAGACTTCCGCTGTGCATCTATTAATCTCTCAAAAGATTATAGATCAACTCATCTAGAGGGAAAACTTCACAAAGTTGAAAAAGATTTAAAAGTCTATTCACCCCCCCTCTAGACTTTTACCTCTATCCGGGACCTTCAGATGTCTTGTGAGTTTGCCATAGTGAGGGAAAATGAGGTTGAAAGGCAAGAAGAAATTTCTTAGAAGGCTAGAAAATCTTAAGTTTCCCCCCCCGAAGTATATGCGGGTTTAGAAGTGGAGAAGGTGTG